CGACGTGTTTTTTAAGACGTTTTGGCCCCGTTGGCCTTCCATAATATTTCGGGTAATTATGGTGCGTTCGATTATTTCTCTCCAAGTCGGAACTCGGATGACAACGTCACGAAACGTCACGAAAAACGTCACTTCCCGTCGGAAACACGCCTCTTTTATGACGTTGAAGTCGGACAAAAAAAATTTTTTGTCCGAGTTGCCCCTGTGACGTAATTTCAACATGGCGACTTGGTTTGTTTGTAGTTTGTTTACCATTCGAAAAAAGAATATTGCTATGAATGTACTAAAATATCTTATAAAGCTTTTAATGTAGTTTGACTAGTTCATGTTTCTTGTTTGTCTCTCGGAAAAATCTCTATTTCTCCATTTTCTCCATTTGGAAAACTCCAAATCTGCTAAAATATAAAGTAACAACAAACAGCAACGTGTTCAGAGAGGCAGCCATATTTGTTCCGAAATGTGGGTAGTGAGGGGTTAATCATATCATAATTTACTTACTAATTCTAATAATATGTCTAACATAATGTAGACATCAGATTTGGGAACTGATATTAGCCCGGTAGGACGGGGTGATCTCACCCCACCCAGTTTGGAGAAATTGGGAACTGACGGTACGCCAGCAGGTCAGGACGACCTGGCACGAGACACGAGGAAAACAGGNGACGGTACGCCAGCAGGTCAGGACGACCTGGCACGAGACACGAGGAAAACAGGAACCCACCATAGAACGGATACTTATTTTTGCTTATGCTTAACAAAAGAAGGAAACACGTACCTTACTGATCAATTAGGAACATGTACTCACTGGCTAACTAGAGCAAATGTCAAGATGTGTTGTCGTCACGCGAAGGGAAAATTACAGAGAAGGGGGGGGCGACACCCAGGAAGGCCTATAAAGGGACAGCCCTGATATTTATGGATTGAGCTTCTTCCTGTACATGCTGAATGTATGTCAGATGGTTGCTCCCGGATTATAATCTGAATATATAATAAACTGGCGACTTGCAACTACTCCTCGACTGTGCAGTGAATCTCTTCTCATCAACGGACCCGGCGGAGCTCAGACTCCAACAGTAGCTCGAACAGGAGATTGTCGGACGTGATGTCACTCAACTCGGAATTTCCGAGTTCCGAGAGAAAAACGAACGCACCATAATTAGCCACTTTAGTACTGCGAAGGAGGCGTGGTGATTCAGATAGAAAGCTACGGTGGCTGCACGAAGATATTTGCATGACAGCATGGCTCCATGGGTTACATCTACACAATATGAAAATCAAGGAGCTATTCATCCAGGTGTGCAATTGCAATCAACAAGTGGAGATGCTCTTGAAAACTTAGCAATGGCTCAACTGCAAGAAAATAATCTAGAAATAGATAATGTCCAGGGTAAAACTTATGATGGGGGTGCAAACATGAGTGGGCTACACAAGGGACTTCAGGCAAAAATTTTCAAATAAAACCCTTGTATGTGCACTGTCAGGCACATTACCTTAATCCGGTGTTGATTGAAAGTGCAAAGTCAAACATCTATTTTAATTTTTTTTATTTAGTTGAAAGACTTTACACTTTGGGGGGGCAACTCATCAAAATGACACTGCCTTTATTGAAACAAAAGAAAATGAACCCAGATCTGCTTGCACATTGGAGATGAGTAGCTGTCTGACATTAGATGGCCCTGCCCCAAGACCCTGTGGAAGGTCTGACCAGCAGTCATGCAATTCCTTGAGGAACTGGGTGATGCAATGATTCTTCTCAAAATCATCAATTTTGAATTTTTCTTGTGTATGGGGATCAGTTGTCCAATCTTCCAGGTAACTGCAATTGCTTCTGATCCATTGTAGCAGACAGACATAGACTTGGCAGCAGCCTACAAAGTTGTAGATGGAGTTTTGCAGAGACTGGCACACAGCACAACAGATGAAGACTTTGAGGAAATTTTCAAACAGGTAACGGAGAAGGCAGCATCAGTCGGCCTGGAGCCCCCACATGAAGTCCCTGGGTAAGCAAGGAGGAGAAAAGTACCAGCAAAATTCGAGTTTGATGTGATATCATCTTCTCTTGACCATGCTTTCCCAAATTTGAAAGAGTAGTACCATGCTAAAATGTGCTATGTATTTTTGGTCACAATAACACAAGAGCTTCAGAGATGCTTTAAAGCAGAGGATAATTCCATATGGGAAATTGTGAATGGGTTCCATTGTCTGACCATTCCAGACAACTGGAAAGCCGCACACATTACAACAGAAGCACTCTAAGCTCCAAAGAAGTTCTGCACCTGTCAGTGTGACATCTATGCTTTCAGTAATCAAAGAAATCAGTACACATTTGGTTTTCCCTAACATGTTTGAGCTGCTTCCTGTCATGGATCCGGGCGGCTCGGGTGCGGGAACGTGGCATAGTGCACACTGAAAAAGGGTGGACGACCCACTGGCGGTTCCAAGAACAAAAGGGGTTTATTAAATAAAACAGAAAACACTACAAACACAAAAGCAAAAGGACCACAAGGGGTCAAAAACTAAAAGGGGATTAACAAAGACTAAATAACAAAACCTAAATACACATCTAAAACTGGGAATCTCAGACATAACAACCATCAAATGCAATCCCTACCTACCTACCAACCAACCAACCAACAACAACAACAACAACAACAACAACAACAACAACAACAACAACAACAACAACAACAACAACACAATGAACCACTGAGGAACTAAACAGAAGCAGGAACTAAAATACTAAAGGGGTAACGAGACTAACACAGGACAGGTGAGACTAATTAACAACGACCAGGGAAACAGGGCACAGGTGAAACTAATAAACTCAAAGGAACAAAAAACAGGGAAACTAAGAACTAACCAAGGACACAGGGAAACAGAAACCAACACTAGGGAATTAAACAGGTAAAGACACAAGCAGGGCCACAAGGAACAAAACCAAAACCAACTACAAAATCAGACACAAGAACTAAAGAAGGGTACACAGGCAACCACATGCTCAACACATTGAGCCACATGACCAGACAGGTAACAGGAGAGAACAAAGACTAACATGAAGGACGGGATGACCAGCAATGCCTGCTGGTCAAACGGGGAAGGGACACAGGGTGGGACAGGGCTGACCCTGACACTTCCAGTGTTAATTAAAGCTGGTGAAAACCAAATTTTGCAGCCTTTGCAAAGGGGAGAGGTTGTCAGACCTTCTTTTATTGGCAATTGAGAAAGATGTTCCAATCAACCAAAATCATGTTATAGACATTTTCTGGGACATGCTCAAAAGGAAGATTCTGCTTTAAATGTGAGGATCTACAGATCATGGGTGGCTTTCCCAAAAGCGAATGATCTTAGCGAATAATGAGCAACCATGTAAGTAAAGAACAAGTGAGGTTTATGTGCATTTCCAAATACCTTTCATTATTCTAGAATTAAATAGAATTAAAGAATGACCTTTAAATAGTACTTTGTTGGCTCCTCCCCAGCCTCCACATAAGAAAATCACAGACTATCAATAACAAGAACATTGATCCACTGTATTTCAGTGGTGAAATTTATTATATGATTGTCGTATCAGACATATACATATGTAAATAAAAATATTAAGTATTCAGAAAATCAATAAAACACACCAGACCAACCAAAACTAAGACCAAAATAAATAAATGTATTTAGTGAAAATATAGAAATGGGCTCACACTGTGCAATGGCGAGCTGCAATAATAAAAGGAAGTAATACTTCTCAAAAGAAGTCTTAAAACAAAACTTACTGAGTGTCATGACCTGCACGTCCAGTCCTCGTGTGTGCCACGCCCTCCTCGTTAACCCCGTGTCAATTCCCATTGTATCAGCTGTCTTGCGTTTATTCTGAGGACACGTCCTGTATTTAGTCTGCGTTCAAGTCTGTTTTCCCAGGTCTGTCATTCTGTTGAGAATCGATAGAAGGGTGAACGAGCAGGGCGCAGTGAAGCAGAGTCTGGGAGCCGTAAATCCAAGGCAAAGGGATTTATTGAGGGCAGACGGACAGACAGGGCACAGACTTCCACAAACGTCAATGACAGACCTGGGTTTCATGACCACCTGCAAAATCAACTTGACTTCCTGGATGCTGCCATGTCAAATGTTGTCTTCTGTTGACTTGCACAATTCTCTGTCATTGCTGGTTGTGAGGGGTGATACACTATCCCAATTCAAAAGTTGTTACTGAACACATAGTTTGATTGGTTAGCTCATTATGTAGCTTACCAGGGTTGTTCAGAATTTATGAATTGGATTTTTTATTAATTGGATTTGGCTACACCCTTTTAAGATGTTGAATTGAAATGACAATAAAAATGTAATGCATTTCAATTCAGTGCAATCATACAACACATAAATGTTATTTAATCTAGTATAACATGAATAATTAAATAACAGATTTACTTTCAACATCCTCTCCTGGAGCCGACACCTTATCATGGTGGAGGGGTTTGCGTGTTCCAGTGATCCCAGGAGCTAAGTTGCCCGAGGCTTTATGCCCCTGGTAGGTTCACCCAAAGCAAACAGGTCCTGGGTGAGGAACCAGACGAAGTGTGACTCATTAGACCCCTTATGATGAGTAATAACATAGATCCATGTTTTCCCTCGCCTGGACGTGGGTCACTGCCCCACCTAGAGCCAGGCCTAGGGGTGGAACTTGATGGCGAGCGCCTGTTGGCCAGATCTGCACCCATGGGGCCTGGTCGGGCACAGCCTGAAGAAGGCACGTGGGTCCCCGCTCCAATAGGCTCACCACCTGTAGGAGGGGCCAAAGGGTTTGGGTGCAGTGTGAGTTGGGCAGTAGCCGAAGGCAGGGACCTTGGCGGTCCAATCCTCGGCTGCAGAAGCTAGCGCATGGGACATGGAATGTCATCTCTCTGTTGGGGAAGGAGCCTGTGCTGGTGCGCAAGGTTGTGAGGTCCTGACTAGATATAGTCGGGCTCACCTCGACGCACGCCTTGGGCTCTGGAACCAATCTCCTTGAGGGGGGTTGGACCCTCTTCCTCTCTGGAGTTGCTCACAGGGAGAGGCGCCGAGCAGCGGTTGGGCAGACTTATTGCCCCCTGGCTGGGCGCCTGTACATTGGCGTTTTCCGCGGTGGACGACAAGGTAGCCTCCCTTCGCCTTCGAGTGGGGGGACGGGTCCTAACTGTTGTGTTGGAGAGTGCTCCTCCTGGGGACTCTCTTGTTCTGCTGGGGGACTTCAATGCTCACGTGGGCAATGACACTGGAGGGGCTTGATTGGGAGGAACGGCCCTCCTGATCTGAACCCGAGTGGTGTTTTGTTATTGGACTTCTGTGCTCGTCACGGAATTTCCATAATGAACACCATGTTCAAGCATAAGGTTGTCCATATGTACACTTGGCACCAAGACACCCTAGGCCGCAGTTCAATGATCGACTTTGTGGTCATGTCATCGGACTTGCAGCTGCATGTATTAGACACTTGGGTGAGCAGAGGGGTGGAGCTGTCAACCGATCACCACCTGGTGGTGGGTTTGCTCCGCTGGTGGGATAGGAAGCCAGTCATACTTGGCAGGCCCAAGCGTATAGTGAGTGTCTGCTGGGGACGTCTGGCGGAATCCCCTGTCAGAACAAGCTTCAACTCCTACCTCTGGCAGAACTTCGCCCATGTCTCGGGGGAGGTGGGGAACATTGAGTCAGAATGGGCTATGTTCCGCGCCTCCATCGTGGAGGCAGCTGACCGGAGCTGTGGCCGTAAGGTTGTCGGTGCTTGTCGCAGCGGCAATCCCTGAACCCGCTGGAGGACACCAGCGATGAGGGATGCTGTCAAACTGAAGAAGCATCGGTGGAGCGGGGGGGGTGGCTTACTGGGCTTAAGCCCGGGTTGTTGTTTCAGAAGCCCAGGGTCTTTTGGAGTGTAATTTGTTTCATAGTTAGATGCCTGACTGACAACTGAATAAAACAAAAACTACACACAATATTCAAAGCACATAGAGCACAGTCGTAAATTCCCCCTAATTTTGGTATGATCCGAGTTAATGCACTAGGCGACTGAGCACAGCACTTACGCATGTGAGCAAGGGGGGAGAAGCTGCTGCCTGCGAATTTGCTGTAGGAGAAGTGCAGACAGGCAGACAGAGGAGAGCTTAAGTTTGACCAGGTACCAAAGCAAATCATTCGTACTGTACAAATAATGTAAATATGACGGTGTATCACAAAAGATTGATATCAAACTGATCACTTGACCCATATTACGTTACTTGCTCTTCGAGTGAATCAACAAATGGCAAAATGAAAAGCCGAACAACAATGCTGTTTTTTTAGAGAGTCTTAGCTTACATGTGTGTTTATTTCATATTTTCAGTTGTTACCCTCCACGGCTAAATAAAGCACTCTAAATCGGTTTCAGTTATGTACTGATGTACACAACAATGGACATAAGGGGCTTCTTTCAAAGAAAAAACTCAGGTAAATGTTATTTTATATATTATGCTTTGTATGTTGTTCAATATATTTCTATGCAAAACAAGAGGAATTTCAATACACAGCAGTATATTCACAGTTGAAACCAGATATTTACATACACTTTGGGGAAAAAACATAAAAACATTTTTTTTACTGTTAAACATCAATTTAGAGTAAACTTTTTTGTTTTAGATAAATAAATATTGAAATATCCTTTGAATTAGTTAAATGTCAGAATAAAGAGAGAGAGAGATGTCTATTTTTTATCACTTTCATCAAATTTAGGAGTATATACAGTATACACTAAATTTATTGTGTCTTTAATGAATAAGAAAACTCCAGACGATTCCATTCTGATAGGTTAGTAGTAATAAATCTTCAACTTCACAGCATGTTTTTCAGTCATTTCTAACCCCCCCCCCCCAATCCTACATGCATACTACCCTTTGGGGCTAAGCCCCGGGTGTATAAAATATCTGGCTCCTCCTCTGTAAAGAAAGAGTCCTATCGAGCCTTTTTAGCCTGTGGGACTCCGGAGGCAGCTGATGAGTAAAAGCAGGCCAAGCGGAACGCGGCTTCGGCAGTCGCTGAAGCAAAAACTTGGGTGTGGGAGGAGTTTGGTGAGGTCATGGAGACTGACTTCCGGATGGCTTCAAAGAGATTCTGGTCCACCATCTGGCTGCTCAGGGAAGAAAAGTGGTGCAGCATGAACACTGTTTATGGTGGGGATGTGGCGCTGCTGACCTGAGCTCAGGATGTTGTGGGTCAGTGGAAGGAATACTTCAAAAACCTCCTTAATCTCACCGATATGCCTTCCAATGAGGAAGCAGAGTCTGGGGACTTAGGGGTGGACTCGCCTATCTCTGGGGCGACCACTGAGGTGGTTAAAAAGGTCCTCGGTGCCCGGGCCCCGGGGGTGGATGAGATCTGGCCAGAGTTCCTCAAGGCTCTGGATGTTGCAGTGCTGTCCTGGTTGACACGCATCTACAGCATCGTGTGGACATCAGGGGTGGTGCCTCTGGATTGACAGACCGGGGTGGTGGTCCTCCTTTTCAAGAAGGGGGACCGGAGGGTGTGTTCCAACTATAGGAGATCACACTCCTCAGTCTCCCTAGTAAAGTCTATTCACTGGTGCAGGAGAGGAGGGTCAATCAGATTGTCGAACCTCGGATTCAGGAGGAGCAGTGTGGTTTTTACCCTGGCCGTGGAACAGTGGACCAGCTCTATACTCTCGGGAGGGTCCTGGAGGGTGCGTGGGAGTTTGCCCAACCAGTCTACATGTGCTTTGTGGACTTGGGGAAGGCATTCGACCTCGTCCCTCTGTGAGTCCTGTGGGGAGTGCTCCAGGAGTATGGGGTGCCGGGCAACCTTATAAAGGCTGTTCAGTCCCTGTACAACTGGTGTCAGAGCTTGGTCCGCATTGTCAGCAGTAAGTTGGACTCATTTCCAGTGAGGGTTGGACTCTGCCAGGGCTGCCCTTTGTCACCAATTCTGTTCATAACTTTTATGGACAGACTTTCCAGGTACAGCCAGGGCGTTGAGAGTGTCCGGTTTGGTGACTGTAGGATTAGGTCTCTGCTTTTTGCATATGATGTGGTTCATCAGACCGTGACCTTCGGCTCTCACTGGAGCAGTTTGCAGCCGAGTGTGAAGCGGCTGGGATGACAATCAGCACCTTCAAATCCAAGACCGTGGTCTTCAGCCGAAAAAGGGTGGAGTGCTCTATCCGGGTCGGGGAGGGAGTCCTTCCCCAAGTGGAGGAGTTTAAGTATCTCAGGGTCTTGTTCACGAGTGAGGGAAGGACGGAGCGGGAGATGGACAGGCGGATCGGTGCGGCATCAGCAGTGATGCGGGTGCTGCATCAGTCTATCATGGTGAAGAAGGAGCTGAGCCAAGAGGCAAAGTTCTCGATTTACCAGTCAATCTACGTTCCTACCCTCACCTATGGTCATGAGCTGTAGGTAGTGACCAAAAGAACGAGGTCGCGAAAACAAGTGGCCGAAATGGGTTTCCTCCGCAGGGTGGCTGGGCTCTCCCTTAGAGATAGGGTGAGAAGCCCAGTCATTTGGGAGGGACTCAGAGTAGAGCGATCGGGCACCTGGTGTACGGCGCCTTCGTCGGCTTCAGCTGCACCATCGCCTACCCCGGCTTCCCCTCCCTCCTTGCCTACGCCGTGGTCCCTTCCATCTCCCTCCTTGCTTCCTCCGGTGCCCCCTCTGACATCCTCCTCTTTTTCTTTGCCTGTCCCTCCACCTACCTCCTCACTCCCTGCGAGGTCCCCTTCGGCTCCGACCTCACGGTTGCCTGTGGCCCCTCCGGCGGGCACCCCACCATGGTTACCTTGGGCTCCCTCAAGTCCTGTCTTACTTCCTGTCCTTGTGCCTGTTCTGTGTGTCCATTCTGTTCCTGGTCTCCCGTTGATGGTCTTGCTTTTGTTTTTCAGGTCCCGTGTCCCCGGTTTCGTCTTGTCCTTCGCCTCCCCTGAGACGCGGCCAGAGTGCGCGCCTTGGGGGGGGGGGGTTCTGTCACGACCTGCTTGCCCGATCCTCCTGTGTGCCACGCCCCCCCTGATTACCTCATGTGAATTCCTGATTGTTCTCAGCTGTTCTGCATTTCCATCCTTTGGTCATGTGTATTTAAGTCCACGTCAGAGTTTGTATCCCGAGTTCCATCATTGTAGTGTTATTTATTGTTATGCTGATTTTGTCCTGCATGCCTCTACGTCTCCCCATTAAATCCCTGTTTACCCCAGCCTTTTTGTCCTTCGCCTGCTTCCCCAGTCCGAGCTCACCGGGTCGTAACACATGTCTGTCATTTATCCAGCTGCCTGTGCCGCATGGGACTCCCTCATCAGCCCTAGACAACCCTGCCCGGTTTCCGTAAATCTCAAAATTGGAAATCATTCATACAGTTGTAGAAAAAATTAAGGGATCACAGCACAATTTTTTG